CAGGTCACCAACAGTCTACACAATGATAATGTGTTCTTATTGATTTGCTAATATACAAGTATTTGTAAATAATATTGTGTTTATTATATTAACCTGTGCTCTTTTTTAATCCTCTCCTGTTTCTTTAGCGTTTCGTGCATGCTTTCTGCATCACTCTAGAAATATTTTAATTAAGTCAGTCATGATCATATTGGACTAATATTTTAATTAGAGCTAAAAATGTGAAGAAATAGGAAATAACAGGCGGAATACACAAAGTCGGCCTGTTCAACCTGTCCATAAATTACTAGAAGCATATATACAATACACCGAATATCACAAACCCGAATATCCACATTCTCACTCAGACCCAACCCAGCAGCATGGGAGCTGGTCACATGATCTGCTAAAATTGATCAGATGCCTTTACGCAAGCTTGTGTCATCTTATTGTAAATGGCACTGAAGTGGAAAATTTCAAACTTACTTCATGAATAATTTGTTCATGTTCATCCACAACTGCTTTTTAAGGAGCTGCCCAATTACTGTTGTTGAAAGGCTAAAATAATAGCATTAAGAATTTCAAATTGAAAAAATATTCAGTATAGATAAGAGTTATATGTGTGAACCATATAGGAGATTGGCACATATACAATTGAATGCATTCAATATATATTTTACCTCGTATATTTGCATGCCTTCACAATACATCTTTGTCATTTTTAGAGGCTAGCCTTGGTCTAACTTACTAAAGACCCCGCTCACAGCACAGACTGATAACACTGTCATAGCAATCACACTTAAAAGTCCAGCACCATGAGGTAAACCACCTCCATTTACATTTACCATTTTCATTACACACTTCACTGTTTCCTCGCATATTTTGATGAGGCCTCGCATATTTTGATGAGGCCAAGTGATGGCAGTTTCAGACCTCCGTTTGTTTTCCATGTTGTGAATAAATCTGGAATGCTTTCTTTGCTTGTTGTCAACACTGCTAATCATTGCGGACAGTGGATCTTTTTCTCCACCACATACCCAGCGATATACGATATGGCCACCTCTACTCAGATAGTTCCATGGCATTCAAAACATCACAGTAGTCGTGATCATCTGCAGCTGGCTGTCTCAACTCCAATTCATGCTGATCCTGGACACTATTCAATATTTCGGTATCATCTTGAGGGGTGGAGTTTCCACGTCCTCCTTCGATGTTGTGCCTCATTAGTAGCTGCTTGTATGCTGCTACGAATTGGCCAGTTGTTGCATTATTATTCCACCCACCACAAGCTCGCACAGCTGAAAAGAATAATTCCAAGTGATCCTGGCTCATCTTGTAAGTCAGAAGATACTTCAAGGCAGGATTTTGGGCATTAACAAGATCTTTTGTTAATCCCACAACAGCATTGATGCACAAAAGGAAACCAAGAAATCCTGTTTTCCTTTTTGATGTAAGGATCGACTGGCCATCTGGACCAAACGATGATCAAAAACACAAATTCATTGAACGGCTGCACCACACCCTTGAAATTGTGGCAATTTCAGCGCACCTTCACAATACTCCAAGGCATCTGCAACACTTGAGTGTCTGTGCTGCTAGATTTGCCTTCATTTTCTGTGGCTTTCATTTGATATGAGCAGATCGGAGCTTATTGGCAAGATGTAATTCCTCCACAAATTGCCACTTGATAGTGTTGCCATCCTTATCCTTTAGGATTTTCCAGTCCAACATGGTGTTTCTTACCAACTTTATCATGCGACAAGCATCTAGGAAAATGTAGATATTGGCTTTCGGGTCACATGGATGTTGGAAGTATGCTTGCAAGTTACTAGGTGACAGTTCAGCGCCAAGCAATTTCAACATCGCCTGGTGAGAGGTGGGCCCATCACAGGTAAAAGACACAACCTTCACCCCTACTTTGTGCAACTTGGTTATGCATTTTTTGGTCAAGTTGGCTTTCTCCTGTACAGTAAGACCGTTCACTAGAAAATATCTGCATGGTGTTCACCGAGACTGCCATAAAAACAAGACATCTGTTGCTTCGGGCAGCGAGTCGTCATTGATGCCTGTGCAAAGGTCAACATAACTGCAGAACTGCTTACCATCCCATTTGACATGCTTGCATATGGCCATCTTCTCGAGCATTAGTGCACAAACAACTTCTTGATTATCTCTTTTTGCAGCTAGAACTTTGGCTTTCAATGCTGTCAGTGCGTCCTTGGTAGAACCTGCCTCCGCCATTCATAGAACTATACCATGACCGAATCATGTTTACATGTGGCAACCTTAAATCAAAACTTTTTTGCACATAGTTATATGCTTTAGTTGAATAAAATTTCAAGGTCAGGGCAAATGACCTTAGCTCAGGTGGATACGCCCCAAGATTTTTCTTTTGTCACCAACCTCTTCATAAGTTCCTTTGGAACTCTAGCAAAAGTTGATTCTAGAATAGTCACACAATCACTATTGATATATATATATATATATATATATATAATATAATATATAATATAATATATAATATAATATATAATATATATATAATATATATATAATATATATATAATATATATATAATATATATATAATATATATATAATATATATATAATATATATATAATATATATATAATATATATATAAT